AAGGCGGCGGGGGGCGGGGCCGGGGGCGGGGCGGAGGCTATAAGGGGCGGCGGCCCGGCGCGGCCCAGCAGGCCCAGCAGCCCCGGGGCGGATGGCTCGGGCCGCCGGGCTCCGCGGCGCGGCCCCACGCGCCCTTCTGCTCCCGCTGCTGCTGCTGCCGCTGCTCCTGCCGCCGCCGCTGTTGGGCCGGGCCTGGCCGCCGGTGAGTGCCCGCCGGCCGCTCCTCGCCGAGGGGGCGCCGGGCACGCGGGCTGGGCGCAGCGGCCGATCCGGACCCACGAGGGCGCCCTGGGTGGCCTGATGCGGCCGGTACCAGAAACGCCTTCTGGTTCCTTGTGGGTGTGATAGATAGTGAGCTTCCTGTCCCTGGAAGTGTGCAAAGAGAGCCCGCGCCGGGATGGCTGGGACTGGTGAGCAGAACTCCACACTGGACTCACGCCCCCTCCAAGCGCAGGGACCTGCCCCTCGCGCCCCAGTCGCGGATGCCGGGTGCATGTTGGGCGAGGTAGCAGAGGAAGTGGTTACGGGAGCCCCCTATTCATCGCAGGGACAAAGCGGAGCAGGTCCCAGGCGGGTGTCAGCCAGCAGGTGTGTGGCCGAAGTGAGCGCACCTCCAGGTGCACAGTGGGACAGGGGATAAAGGAAGCGCCAGGGAGGGTAGTGCTGCGCTGGGGGAATAGGGTCTGAGCCTGCAGGAGATGCTGCCCCCTGTGCACCTGCCGGCAGGAAGTTTGGGAGGCTCGGAGCCAGGACAGCACGAGTATGAGACGGTATGAGTGCAGCGTGTGTGACCAAGAGGTGGGCGTCAGAGAGAAGGGGGAGCTGAGAGTGGGTGGCTGAGACCCTCAGAGGGCAAAAGGGTGGGGAGAGAAATGGAAAGAGCACACATTGTCCGAAGTGTGTGCTCCAAAGTGGAGAAGAAAGTCCAGGTAAGAGAGAGGACAGAGTGAGGAAAGGAGGGACTGTCACCGGGTATGTGTGACAGACTGTGTGTGTTCCAAAGGCTGCACCTTCCCTTGAGCTGGGCTTCAGAGCACCAGTCACAGGGGTGACCAGGCAGGGCCTGGTGCCTGGGCCACTCTGCCCTGCAGCCAAGGTGTCCAGCCAGCTCAGGTAGGCATGGGAGCAGGAGGGGGTGACAGGCTGGAGTCCTGGAACTGGTGTGGTGAAGAGGGAGGCCTGGCCAGGCTGGGGCCCTCTGTCCAGACACACCGGCTCTGCCCTGGCCAGCCTCATCCTCTGCTGGCTATGCGAGCAGGAGGGGTTGGGATGGGTGGGGTAGAGTGTATGGCGTGGGGATCACCTTAGTCTGGAGGCCCTGCTTCTTCCCAGCCCCTCTTGGTCCCCTAGAACCTGGGACCGAGTAAGGAATCAATCACCCTGGGTAGCTGTTGACCCCACAGGTGTGGGATTTGGAGAGATCTGTGTTTGAACCATGTGACCTGAGTGAGCCTTCTTATGCCTCAGAACTCACCCACTCCATCTGCAATGGGGGGTGAGAGGGGGTGACAGTACCTGCTGGGCACTGAGGATGAAAGGAGGTGATGCCAGGCACACTGGAGATACTCTGTCACCTGGAGCTGCCACTTTGATGCTTGTGCAGGGTCAGCGCTGGGGCTGGGAGCCAGCATAGGGTGGCGTCTGAGCTGAGCTGTTGTCTGTCACTCTGCAGACACACAGGGAGCATTTGGGGTTACCTCTGGTGTGTTTATCCCTAGGTTGCTGTCAGCAGAGCCAGGAGAGCTCTGTAAATATTTATCCATCCCAGTTCCTAGCTTTCAGGGTTGATGAAAGCCCTGAAGTCCAGAGGGACAAAGCTACCTCCCCTCCTGGAGGCCACAGGGGAGGGGAGGGAGGGGGGTGTTTAGGCGGAAGCTTGGGGAAGAAGGTAAACCTGCTTGCCAACTGGCTATGTGACTTGGGCAGGTTGCTTGACCTCTCTGGGCCTCAGAGGGACAGGATGCTGCATAGAACAGCATGGTGATGCTCCCGTGCTCCTCACAGCCTGACCAAGTGCCCTCCATTCAGACTCACCTCCGAACAGCAGAAGGCACAGCTCTGATTAATTATCCCATTGGACAGATAGCAACTGAGGCCCAGAGAGAGGCACAACTAGTCTGGCCTTACTCAGTGGTTTCCTAGCCAGGGGTCCTCCTTATGTCCCCTCTGTCTGCTGCTGCCTGTTTTCTGGGTTGGAAGTTGACTCAAGGGCCGCCCCTGAGTCTCCGAGCTCTGCCAGGAGACTGGGTCTGTGGAGAATTTCCTTGTCTGAGGCTGTGGTTTGGTGCCTGCCAGCAGAGGGCAGGGCTAGGCCAGCCGGGCACCCACCACAGGGCAGGCAGAGGGCAGCTGCTGGCCCAGGAGGGAATGCACTGGGAGCAGAAACACTCCTCAGGAATGTGGGTTTTGGAGGTAAGCCAAGAGTGGGCTGGGGGTTGCAGTAGGGGAAGGCTCCAGAGCGGGAGGCATGGAGCCCCAGGTCTAGGCCCTGCTCTTCCCTGACCTGCTGTGTGACCCTGAGCAAAGTCCTTGACCTCTCTGGGCTTTGTTTCATCCTCTGCAAAATGGGGGGATGCCTGCTCCCCAGGGCTGTAGATGAGGCCAGGAGTGGGCTGTGCCCCAACCTCACCTCACTGAATCTCGTATTCCTAGGAGCACCGAGCACACCCATCTTAGGAGTTGGCAGCTGCCTCGTGCCAGGCCTTGCAGCGAGGGCATCTGGCCCCAGCCAGAGAGGACTCTAAAAGATGAAGCGTGGGAGGTCAGCGAGGCTGGGAGTGTGTGTCCCATCCAGTGATGGGGAACTGAGGCCAAGAGCTGGAAAATGATGGGATCTAAGGAAAAAACAAATCACACCTGCTGGAGCCCTGGATTCCAGCATGTCCTACTCACTCACGCTCTAAGGTTAATGAATAGGACGTGGCGAGGGAGCAAGGGACCTCTGCCCTGCTGGGAGAACCTGCACATGGAGCTTTACTTCTCTGGGCCTGGGAGCTCCCTTCTAACCGCGACTTCTGTTCTACCATTTTAGTCTGGAGATTTTGAGGGAGAGCTGGAGGTGCCATAGAGACGTTGGCAAGGGGAAGAGAGGCCTACTGTGCAAGGAGCAGGGCAGGGAAGAGGCGCTTCTCTGCCAGAGACTGCAGCAGGCATTACAGAAGGATGTCATGCAGCCCTGAGCTGTGGCATCACCCCCGTTTGACAAATGGGGAAGTTGAGGCTAAGAGAGGACAGTGACATGTCCAGAGTCACCATGGTGTAGAACTAGGCCTTCTGAACTGCAGAGCTTGGCTCTTTTTTCTGCACTGAGAGGGCCAGGATCCAGAAGTCTGGGCATGGACATGGTGCCTTGTGGGAGAGGAGAGGAAGGGACAGTGGAGGGTGTGTGGGGTGTGTCCATGGCTCCACGGGTGTCCCACCGTGGCTGGCTGCGCAGGCTCACTGAGGGCAGAGGCAGAGGCCACGGGCATAAGCAGAGCCAGCAGGTGGGACTCTGGGCTGTTTGGGGATCCCAGGGGACAATGTAGCTCTGCCCTTCCCAGGGAGGGTCCTTATACCCCTGCCAGGGTTAGGGGAAGGAATCTGTTTCTACTGTAGGTCAAGGGGCAGCATGGCGGGGAGGAGGGGGCAGGCTCTGTGGCCAGTCCGCAGACCTGAGGTCCATGTCCTCAGTGTGAGACCTTGGATATGAATCGTGCCCACCCTACTGACCCTGAGTGAGCCTGCCCCCAGAATGCCTGGGAAGCAGCAGGTGCTTAATAATGTCCTGTTCCTTCTCTTCTGTCACTAAGGTGTCACTAAGGAAGGATGACTCAAGCCCTGGAGAGCAGAGCACAGGCAGCAGGGAGCGGGGTGGGCCGTGAGCACAGACAGTCCGCTACCAGAGCAAGTTGCTTATCTTCTCTGGGATCCATTTCCTCATCTGAGAAATGGGGGTGATGACGGTGGCACTGGTGAGAAGTTCCACTGGGGCTAAGAGCATGTCCACAGATGCCAGGGGCCTGGCCTGCAGCGGTGATAAGTACTTATTAACAATAAGCCCATGGCCGGGCGCGGTGGCTCATGCCTGTAATCCTAGCACTCTGGGAGGCTGAGGCAGGTGGATCGTTTGAGTTCAGGAGTTCGAAACCAGCCTGAGCAAGAGCGAGGCTCCGTCTCTACTAAAAGAATAGAAAGAAATTAGCTGGATAACTAAAAATATATAGAAAAAAAATCAGCTGGGCGTGGTGGTGCATGTCTGTAGTCCTAGCTACTTGGGAGGCTGAGACAGAAGGATCGCTTGAACCCAGGAGTTTGAGGTTGCTGTGAGCTAGGCTGATGCCACGGCACTCTAGCCCAGGCAACAGAGCGAGACTCTGTCTCAAAACAAAAAAAAAAACAATAAGCCCAGAATTGGCTGGAACCACATCCCAGTGCGGCCGTGTTGGGCCACGTAACCACGCAACAAGCAAGCTCTGGAAGTGGGGGAAGTGGCTCCAGGGTCTCACACCCTTAATAGTTCCATAGCCCCCACATTCAGAAGGCCCCTTCCTATTGGGGTGTTCTTGGGAGTTGACTCCTCAGCTCGGGGATCAGGAGTTTGGAGGCCTGGGATGCTGACCCTGGGGCATCTGGGGCCTGGGACGGCTGCCAGAGGCTGAGGGTGAGGCGGGGCCTGAGTGGCCGGGCTCCTGCCCCAAATATGGTTGTGCCGAGGCTGCGGTTGCCCAGACCAGACAGGTGCTCAGTCTCCCGGCAGACAGCACAGCTCCATCCTTCTCCTCCAGTGCAGGAAGGAGATTTAGCTCTGTGAGGTTCTGAGCCAGGCCTCAGTCTTAGGCCTAGGATCCCAGGGTCCGCTCATGGTCCTGCCACGCCCTTGCTGGGTGACCTCACAGGGTCTCCCACCCTCTCTGAGCTTCTGTTTTTCTCATGCACAAGAACTATGACTTCTGCCCTGCGGACTTGCAAAGGGTAGGGGGATGTAGCTTAGGTCAGAATTGCACTGTGCTCCTGGGGCTTTAGCAGGTGGGCCCGGGTGCCTGGTAACTGGCTGCCCCCTCCCTCCTGCGTGGCAGGCAGATCACAGATCTAGCTCCCGCCGTGCATGGGCCCTGGTGGGGTGTGACTAAAACTGCCTGCGCTGGAAGTCAGGCCTCAGTTACCAGGCGCCCTTGCCGGGTGCCGGGCCTGTGCTAAGTGTTCCACACACATCGCCTTGTCTAGTCCTCAGGTGGACACGCTGGGGAGCTACCGCCATCCCCACTGGCCAGGTGAGCAGACCAAGGCCACGCTACAGGGCTGCAGCCCATCCACGCTGGGGGAGGAGGGGGACATCCTGGGCAGGGGAGATGGCAGAGCCGCTCACATGACCGGGGAGGCAGAGTGGGGTGACCCAGGTGTGCCTGAGCAAAGAAAGGGAGGTGGAAACGAGTTTGCGGAGAGTTGGGGAGGTGTGGAGCCAGGAGGAACTCGTCAGGTGTTTCCTTGAGAGCATTTTGGGGTCCATTCCTGGGGGGGGTGTGGAGGATACAGTCAGGGGCTCATAGCCGGTTCACCCCCACCCAGACCTCGCTGGCCTGAGTAGGTCAGTAGGTGACAGGCAGCCCAGGGCCCTCCTGGGTGGGTTGGGGAGACAGCCTGGTGCCTTGGAATGAGGTGTTGGGCTACGAACCCCTGACTGTATTCTCCACACACTCCCAGAAGTGAACCCCAAAACACTCTAGAGGAAACACCAGGGAAGTTCCTCCTGCTCTCCCCCCGCCAGCCCCCAGAGTCAGCCTAGTGCCAAAGGGCCCTGCTGTGTGCTGGTGCCCTTCCCTCCCTGTTTGTCCAGCCACACGGTGGGCCGGGGCTGTGCATGGTGTGCTGATGGGCCACACCTCTAACCACAGGCCACGAGGGCCCGAGGCCTGACCAGGCCCTCATGTTCTCTCTCCTGCCCAGGATGCGCATGGCCGGCGCCCCATGACAAGGGGGCCTCAGCCTTGGCATGCAGCTCTGCCCAGTAGCCTGGTGCCTGCCCCTGCCACCCAAGAGGCCCCCCGGCCTGCCAGTGGCTCCAGGCCTCCCCGCTGCGGCGTGCCTGACCCACCCGATGGGCTGAGTGCCCGCAACCGGCAGAAGCGGTTCGTGCTGTCGGGCGGGCGCTGGGAGAAGACAGACCTCACCTACAGGTAGGGGCTGGGGGCTGCGCGAGCAGGACTCAAGGGCGCTGTGTCCCCATGTGTGAGCCTGCCACCTTCACAGCTGCTTCTCGAGACACACACCAGGGCCAGATCTGTGTGGCTAATGGGCCTATGTGCCCACTGACCCCGCCACCCCCGCCATCCAAGGACACATATGTGAACAAACACCCCCTCACACACATGGATACCCTCCCTCAGCAGGGGGAAGTGGCTTTGTCATCGCCCGGGGAGTCTCAGCACATGCTTGGGGACAGGTGTTCAGTCACCCAGGCAGCCTTTACTGGGGACCTATTAGGGCCAGGCCCGGGACTCCACGGTCAAGGAGGCAGACACAGCCCTGTTCTCTCGGAAGGCCATGTTAGCCACGTCACTGCTGGACTTGGGCTTGGTGCCGGTGGAGACGGCGGGGGGCAGGGGCAGGCAGGAGCCAGCTCCTCACTGCGTGACCAGGGAGGCTGAGGTCCCACATCCTGCAGGCGGCCACTCAGCCTGGGAGGGAAGAACTGTCTGGTGTCTCATGGTGTTGGAGCTGAGAGTGCAGAGTCCTTGGGGATTTCCTGGGTGGGGACCTTGGGTCCAAGAGGGGGCTCAAGGGGCCAAGGTCTCCCCATAGTGAGTGGCACTGTCAGGTCTAGAACGTGGGTCCTGGGACTCCTGGCCCTGTGTTCTTTCCACTGAATGCAGACACCTGTACATGCCTAAGTACACACAAACCCACACAAAGACGTGTCTACATAGCCAGGCAGACTGATGTGCTACACCCAAGGCCCACAGCACACCTCACCGTGTCCCAAGAGTACACACACCCACCAACACTTAGGGGCAACTCCTGACCTCTCGGCCATCAGGGGCTGTCCCTGCCCTGAGGCCCAGGCCCCTCCGCTTCCCCGCAGGATCCTCCGGTTCCCTTGGCAGCTGGTTCGGGAGCAGGTGCGGCAGACAGTGGCAGAGGCCCTGCAGGTATGGAGCGAGGTGACACCACTCACCTTCACTGAGGTGCATGAGGGCCGCGCTGACATCATGATCGACTTCACCAGGTGATCGGCGGCCTGGGATCCCTCAGGGAATAGCCCCGCCTGCCAGCTGTCACTGACTCTGCCCCCACCTGCCCACAGGTACTGGCATGGGGACAACCTGCCATTTGATGGGCCTGGAGGCATCCTGGCCCATGCCTTCTTCCCTAAGACCCATCGAGAAGGGGACGTCCACTTCGACTATGATGAGACCTGGACTGTCGGGGACAACCAGGGTATGGATTGGGTACCCATTTTCCAGGTGGGGCAAGTGAAGGTCATAGAGAATGGGAACTTGCCAAAGTCCCTGAACTGGGTCTGGAGCATGGGTGTCTTGTGGCAGGAGGTCCAGGTGTCGCTGACCCATCTCCCTTCTCCAGGCACAGACCTGTTGCAGGTGGCAGCCCACGAGTTTGGCCATGTGCTGGGGCTGCAGCATACGACAGCAGCCAAGGCTCTGATGTCCCCTTTCTACACCTTCCGCTACCCACTGAGCCTCAGCCCAGATGACCGCAGGGGTATCCAACACCTATATGGCCAGCCCTGGCCTGCCCCCACCTCCAGGGCTCCGGCGCCAGGTCCCCAGGCTGGGATGGACACTAACGAGATTGCACCGCTGGAGGTGAGGCTTGGGAGGGTGGGAAGTCTGAGGTGGGGCCCTGTGGCTGCAGCGTGTGCCCTCAGCACAGGCCCCTCTCCCCCCAAGCCGGAAGCCCCACCGGACGCCTGTGAGGCCTCCTTCGATGCAGTCTCCACCATTCGGGGCGAGCTCTTCTTTTTCAAGGCAGGCTTTGTGTGGCGGCTGCGTGGGGGCCGGCTGCAGCCTGGCTACCCGGCACTGGCCTCTCGCCACTGGCAGGGACTGCCCAGCCCTGTGGACGCGGTCTTTGAGGATGCCCAGGGACACATTTGGTTCTTCCAAGGTGAGTGGAGGTGGAGGGTCTGCTCGAGGAACTTCCTGGAGCCAGGAATGTCATGCCAAGGGTAGTGATAGACAGATGGATCCCCAGGGACACAGTGGGCAGGGAGAGGGTACCCCAAAGGCTGGAGGCCAAGGAAGAGCGTGGCACACTCCTCGAGCACAGTTGGGAGGCCCCGGAGAGGGCAGCTCTGGAGATGGGAGGAGCGTAGACGGTATTGCGCATCTGGCAGTGCACTGGTGCATCCAGCCCCCAAAGCCACCCCATGGGGCAGGGTGCTAGACATGAGGCCTCCAGGGCTCAGAGGCAGCGAAGTGGCTCACTGAGGGTGCAGCTTGGAAAAGGCAGGGCAGGGATTTGATCCAGGTCTGTGACCCTGGAGCTGTGATTTCAACCTTCAGCTGGCAGAGTTGAGACCCTGGAGCCTTCCAGGTGCCAGAGACTTCAGAAGCAAAGGTGCGGTGTGGAAACCTGCACGTGGGTTCAGGGCAGCGGGGCCTAGGGAGTGGTCAGCGGGCATTTGTCACAGAGAGCCAAATGCCAGGGCTAGGAGCAGGAGCCCAGGCAGCCCTCCGCTGACTACAGTAGCTCCACCCAGTGGTACTTTACAGAGCCTTCACCCCGGCTCATCCCAGCTGCCTCCCACTTCCCTCTGGGCGTGTGGGGTGCTGAGCAGGCACTATTGGCCCCCATGTTTTATGGACAAGGAAACTGAGGCTGGGAGAGTCTGTGGTGGTGGCAGAGCAGGTCCATGGTGCTGGGCGTGGCAGTGATGGCTTGGCAGCTCCTTGCAGCCTCTCCTCTCCGGCAGGCGCTCAGTACTGGGTGTACGATGGTGAGAAGCCAGTCCTGGGCCCCGCACCCCTCTCTGAGCTGGGTCTGGTGGGATCCCCGGTCCATGCCGCCTTGGTCTGGGGTCCTGAGAAGAACAAGATCTACTTCTTCCGAGGAGGGGACTACTGGCGTTTCCATCCCAGCACCCGGCGTGTGGACAGTCCCGTGCCCCGCCGGGCCACCGACTGGCGAGGGGTGCCCTCTGAGATTGATGCTGCCTTCCAGGATGCCAGTGGTGCGTTGAGGGTGGGGCGGTTGGTGGGAGGTGGGTGCAGCAGCCGAATCTCCCGCCCAGTGGTGGCTGGGCCTTTGTCCAGCGCCATCTGTCTTCCTCCTGGTGGCCAGGCAGTAGTATATCTTGTGTTGCAGATGAAGAGGCTGAGGGCCAGAGAAGTGCAGTCTTGCCCCAGTCCCTTGGGCACAGCCAGGAAGATAATAACCGCTGAGCACAGAGGGCTGACAGTGTCCCAGGCACGGCTCTAAGCTCCTTACAAGTCTCGTGCATGTCTCAGAACAGCTGTCTGACCTGTTATGAACCCAGTTTCCAGAGGAGCAAACAGAGGCTCAGGCAACGAGGCCTCTAACTGGGGCCACCCAGGTGGACAGTGGCAGAGCCAAGACTCTTACCCAGGCGGTCCCTGCTCATAACCACTGAACCACCCGGCTTCCCACAATTGCAAAGGACTAGAGCCAGGTCAGGACTCGCAGTCCAGTGCTCTCTCTCTCCTACATTGGGACCTGCTGGGAGAGTTGTCTTGGGGTGGCCTAAGGCTCTAGGACTCCAGGAAACCCATCTGTAGTCTGGTTGCTGGATACAGGAGAGAATGACATGGAGGGCGGTGAGGGCAGTGGGACTTGCTTCCTTGAGAGGTAGGACTTGGGCCACTGAAGTTCCAGGAAGCTGTAAGGCGGGACCAGACCCTGGGGCAGGCGGAAGGGCGTTCGGGAAGGCCAACCTCGGATCCTGCAAGGAACTCAGCAGTAGCCAAAGCCTGCCCACCCAGTCGTCCCTTGGGCCTAGTGTCTACTCACTCAGGCCTGACCTTCTCTTCTCAGGGTATGCCTACTTCCTGCGTGGTCGCCTCTACTGGAAGTTTGACCCTGTGAAGGTGAAGGCTCTGGAAGGCTTCCCCCGCCGTGTGGGCCCCGACTTCTTTGGCTGTGCTGAGGCTGCCAACACTTTCCTCTGACCGCGGCTTGGGTGTCCTCAGGGGTGCCGACCCCTGCCAGGCTAGAGACCTGCAGCCATCTTGGTGGCTGTGGGCACCAGGCATGGGACCAAGCCCATGTCTCCTCAGGGGGGTGGGGTGGGGGTGCAATCACCATGACAACTGCAGGGAGGGCCACGCTGGTCGTGGTCACCTGCCAGCGATTGTCTCGGACTGGGCAGGGAGGCTTTGGTTTTACTTAAGAGTGAGGGCGGCCTGGGACTGGCGCCGCTCCACCTGCGCAGGTCCCGGTCAAATCTGGCTGCTTTCCATCTCTGTCCCTGTCTCAGGGTAGGACCTTGGCAGGGCTGAGGGAACTGGAGCGTCCTCACTCGATCCCTGCTGTGTGGTTCCTGCCAGGAGCTGGCACTGGAGCAGTGGTGCCAGGCCCCCAAGGCCTTCAGCCCCAGCTGAGCAACTGGGCCATGGGGCAGGGCCCTCACCTGAGAAGTCAGCTCTGGGTAGGTGCCTGCATCTGGCTGGCTTCCTGCTGGTGATGCTGGAGCTCTGTTCCGCTGGATGCAGGCCAAAAGGTCCACAGACAGCTGGGGGCAGGCAGGTGCTTCTTGCAGGAGACCCCAGGCCCTGGAGGCCCCAACATACCTCAATCCTGTCCCAGGCCAGATCCTCCTGAAGCCCTCATTCCAGCACTGCTATCTTCCAAAGCCATGTAAATGTGTGTACAGTGTGTACAAAGCCTTTTTTTTTTTTTTTTTACTGAGGACTATCATTAAAAACAGTTGTTTTTTACCTGCCCGCCTGGTCTCTCTTTGTGACTGCGCAGCCAGGATGGGGAGGCCTGGCGTGAGTCCAGCCCTACCCTGGGAGCCAGGGTCAAAGCCCCCACCCCACCCCAAGCCCCTAGCCCTGCCCCTTGGGGCTGGGCACAATGCTTGGGGCTCTTCCTGCTCCATCCCCCCATCACATCTCATGGACACCTGCAGTGGCTTCTTAACTGGCTCCTTGCTTCCCTCAGTTCATCCTCGAGTGGTGGCCATTTTATCTGATCATGTCACACCCCAGCCCCACTGTAAAGTACTGTCACCCTCCATATCTGTGGGTTCCATGTCTGTGGATTCATCCAACTGTAGAAAATATTTGAGGGAAAAAAAGGAGGTTGTCTCTGTACTGAACATATACAGACTTTTTTCTTTTTATTCCTCAACAATACAGTTTAACTATTTACATAGCATTTACACTGTATTAGGTATCATAAGGAATCCAGAGATAATCTAAAGTATACAGGAGGATATGTGTAGGTTATATGCAAATATTATACCATTTTATATCAGGGACTGGAGCATCTGTGGATTTTGGCATACACAGGAGTCCTGGAACCAATCCCCCATGACACCAAAGGACAACTGTACTTTGGTTTGCCACTGCTGTGGCGACACAGAACAAAACTCATGGTTACCATGGCCCTTCCTAGCTCAACCCGGTGTCTCCTTGCCCTGCCCAGCACCACATCTTCGTAGCAACTATCACAGCAGCAATTCCATCCGACTGAACCATGCGGAGCTGTCAGCAGTGGGCTCCTTTCACTCACTGCATTGTTCAACCGGGTGCCTGGATTGCTTTGATGCTTTCAGTAGTGGTGGTCCCCACTCCTGGCTGTAAGTGCCAAGGGGCAGAGCCACAGGGTAGGGCTGTGCTTATTGCAGGCACAGAGTGCAGAGTTAAGGAGGGAATGGAGAAGGTGTAGCTCCCCTCCAACACTCATCTGATGCACCAGCCACACCAGATACCACCTGGGCCTCCGAATACCGCCATGCCACACCCAGTGTTGTCATTCTGCCCATCCCCACTGCTGTAGGAAGAGCTGTAGGCCTGGAACTGGGATATCTGTTCCTAGGAGGCCTCTTATTTGCTCAGCTGCACTGCGATTTCGGGGCGGGGAAACTGAGGCGCTAGCCTGGGTCATAAAGCTCGTCCAGACCATTCAGGCTTCCAGATGTGGCTCTGTCCTCACGGTCTTCAGGCCTCATTTCGTTTCTTCTTTCCTGGGCTGAGTTCCAGTGCTGGCTGTAAGACTGGGAAAACCACTGCAAGAGTCAGGGCCTCAGTGGCTATTTTTGTCCGTGAGAAAGCTTTCCTCGGTACCACGACTTGAGAGGTAGCCTGGCAGAAGAGAATTGGACGTGGCTCCTTTAAGGGGTCCGCGGGGACGCGCTCGGGCTTTTGTTCGGGCGGCGGCGCGCGCGTCGCCGTCAACGCCCGCGCCTGCGCACTGACGGCGGCCTGGTCGTCGTCTGCGGCGGCAGCTGAAGAGCCTGGCGGAGACAGGAATCCCGGCCCGGCCCGCACTTCGCCTCCCGGCCTCGATTCCCCTCGGTCCGGCGTACTCCGGCCCCGCCCCAGCCCTCCCAGTTCCTCGCGGCCCGGCCCGGGCTAGCCGCCTCCACCGCCGTAATGATGATGATGGCGCTGAGCAAGACCTTCGGGCAGAAGCCTGTCAAGTTCCAGCTGGAGGACGATGGCGAGTTCTACATGATCGGCTCCGAGGTAGCCCGCGGCACGTCCTCGCCTTCCCTGGGCCCGGCCCCGCGGGAGCTCCGGGGCGGGTCTGCGCGCCGGGAGCGCGCGTCCCCATTCATCGCGGCGGCGGGCGCGTGCACGGGGCTGGGACGTATGGGGGCGTGGCCGGGCCGGGCCTCTGGCCCCCGCCCCACCCCGGTGATGCGGGTTTCCTTGCTTTGTTCGCCGGTCCCCGTGCACCCTGCTGCCAGGGCTTGGGGCGCCGCGGGAGGCCATTGGTTCCGCGCTGAGTTGGTACTGCTCCAGCCGGACGCAGAGACGGGATGTTCGGTTAGCCCTTGCGGCGCTTGGGGGCTGTACTAGTGCCCTTGACTCTTTTGAGATGTTGCAAATCTCACGTGCATCCCTCCCCCCAGTGCTGCTTGTGGGGTTCTGAAATCGCAGGTTGGAAGCCCGGGGCTTAATGAGGGCTCACCCCCATTGCATTTGTTGCCTCTGAGGGTGGCAGTGGAGATATTTTGACCTTTGTTTACCAGTGAAGAAACAGATTGGGAGAAGGATGCTTGCTTGTGGGTGGATAAGGCTCCCAGTGCCTGAGCTAGATCTTTCAGCAGTTCAGCAGCAATTGACACTTTAGATATCTGTAAACTGATTCTGAATTATTACAGGGGAAAGATCCTAAGGATCTTTAATCCTTAACTAGAGTGACAGCACTTTGATGAATCAGCTAAAACCCTGACTGTAGGAAAATCCTAACTGGCCCTTCAATAGGTGTTTGTTCTAAGTGTATTAAGTTTTTGCAAATTGTCTCAAACTAGCCCTTTTTGGTCTAAAGGATCCCCACCTATATTCCTTTTTTAAAAAATTGTGGATATACAGTTAAGATGTGCAAACATCAATCAATAGAGTCTCTCATGAGGCGGTAAGTACTAATCCCGGAGAGCTAAAGGCATTACAAAATTCTGAGAGTTGCTTCTCCTTGTAGCAGTTTTTAGTATTACACTCCAACATTTCATATTTTTAAACTTTTGGGGTTTTCTTCACAACTGAGCATAGTGTGAATGAACAAAGCCTCCTGATGGTCACACTGAGGCTTTCAGGGCACCCCATGATTCCTGTCTTGTGTTAGTTGTGTCAACTTATGAAACCGATGTTGTCGGTAGCATCAGAACTTTAGTGTTTGCATCACATTTTCCACCAATTTTTTTTTTTTGGTAGAGATGGGGGTCTTGCTTTGTTGCCCAGGCTGGTCTTGAACTCCTGGCCTAATACCAACCCCAGCCCCCAATCTCCCAAAGTGCTGGGATTACAGGTATGAGCCACCACACCTGGCTGTGTATCCACCAATTTTTAAAAAACAAAAAGGGCAGGATGCAATAAATTCACGTTCACATGATCACTTAAGTACTGCTATTCAAAGAAGGCTGTGCTGGGGAAATGGAGCCAGTGCCTGTCCATTTGCCGCAGCTCAGAATGGTCTCCATCGTCTTGTAGGCACTTAAGTGCAGGACGCAAAAGGCAATTAGTATGTAATGCTGGGCAGGTTGTTTAAAGAAGCCTTTACCTGATCTAATGGGGGAGAAAGTAATCAGTTTGGCCTTGATTCTGAGTGGGTGGTACTTTTGAAAAGAAAGCTTTCATTTATTAGGTGGAGCCAATTGAGAAGCAACACGTGGCCAGGTGGGAAGAACCTCAGGAGGCCTGGTTCCACCCCTGCATCACTTTTCTCGTGTGTATGATGAGATGCTTGGACTAGATGGTCTCTAAGATCTTCCCCAAAACACATTTTAGATTCTAGAAAGCTAACTATAGTCTTCTCTTTCAGCCCCTCCACTCTTGGCCCTCCCTGTTGAGTTAGAGCAATAGTTGTGAGACACAGAGAGGCAGTTTGCTTTCTTGGGCCTGGCTTAACAATCATCAGACCTTTGGAGCTTAGGGAAGGGTTCGAGATCGGAGAACCATCTGTTGATATCTAGTAGCTCCTGTGACACTGCTGGATGGATGCCTCCAGCCCCCCTCCCGATAGAAACAGGCACTGTATTCAGAGAGGTGGGCAGCCGTAGCAACAGACTCAGTGCCTCCATGAAACATCTATAGAACTGCCTTGGAGGGCATTTGCAGTTGCTATGAGTGTGTATCAGTGTTCTCTTGCCATATGCAGGCGGCTCTATTCATCAAGCCAGAGTCAAGGAGCTAAGAGAAACCTAACGAATTGCCAAGTCCAGCATCTTCATTTTATATTCAGGAAACCTAGGTCTAGAGAGGGCAAAGGCTGGTTCAGGGAAAAGCCAAGAACACAAGCCCAGTCTCATAAGTTGTGAAGGGGCCTTGGGAGGGGTCTGGGAGTCCTAGAGCCCTGCTGGGCCTGCAAGGTAGTCATGGGGACAGTATTGTCAATTTCTTTTAAAAAACATAATGGAGGCTGGGCATGGTGGCTCCTGCCTGTAATCCCAGCACTCTGGGAGGCTGAGGCAGGAGGATCACCTAAGGCCAGGAGTTCAAGA